GCGGTGTGAACCCACCAGGTGCTTCACTGGAGAAAGACCGGGCAGTCTACCTCCATAAAGATTGTTGTTGTGAAGTGCCGTCGAGTCGGTTCCTACTCATAATGACCCTCTATAGGGTTTCTGAGGAGCTGCTGCTGGTTTTGAACGGCCGACCTTATTCTGATCCTACAGTGCCACACCAGGAGTCCTAGAGAACACTACAGTGCAGTTCTACTGCGCCACCTGGGTCCCTTTGAATAGAGACCCAGTATTGTCATGTCAGATTAGCGAGGTGACCAACTGCCTTCTCGTTCAACAGTGATCTTATTTGTGATAATATTTTGTACTCTGAAGTCTGATGTCATACCCACTTGAACTTTCATTTCATTTGGAGTCCTGGTGTGGCAGAGTGAGTTAATGCGCAAGGCTGGTTTGAACCTGTACAAGGCCAGTGGATGAAGCCCACCAGCTGCCCCTCGGAAACCCTATACAGGGTCACAGTGAGTTGGAACCAACTTGATGGCACTTAACAACAACTTTCATTTGCTGGTTGCCATTGTAGTTAGGGTCCATCATCGTGGCTTTGACTCAGTGACCCTGTGTCCAACAGGCTAAAGAACTGCCTGGACCCGCACCCTCATCACACTCGCTGCTGGACTTGAGTCCACGTAGCACACACTGTGTCAGCCCATCCCCTTGGCGGTGTCCCTGGTTTATAATGACCTTCCTCAGAGACTGCTCCCTCCTGATACCATCCATGTCAAAACAAGCAAAATGAGATGGCACCGTCCATGGTTTTAGGAGCATTCTGGTGGCTCTTCCTCCAAGTCTGATCGGTTCGTTCTTCTGGTGTCCCATCCTGTGACATTTAACTAATTTAACTTTACAAGGAAACAAGCTCCTCCGGAACAATGTAGTGAGCTGTCGGAAAACCGTGCTTTAGAGAACTTTTTTGTATGCAGTTTTCTCTCCTCTCCTGTGTGCTGTGTGGACTCCAGCCCACTGGACATCACAGCCATCAGATCTTAGAGAGGTAGACATAATATACTTGCCATTCTATACAGCAGTCTTTGTAGGTATATTCTAAAGAAGAATAAAGCACACCCAAGCCAAGTGAACAATCAATCCGAAATCAAGAGGAGAAGGGAAAGGGGTGAACTGGGAAATTAGATCAATGGAAATGGAACAAACAGAATAAAAATAATAACTTATGTAAAAATTGTTGAATGGGAACCTAAACTGCTGTGTAAACCTTCATCAATTTATAAGTTTTTTAAATGCTCAAACGTACAAGAATGTCCATAGCAACAGTAGCTTAACTGATCAATGCCAATAACTGGAAACTCCTGCTTTTATCAGGATCGAGATGATAATTGATCAGTTCCTCCTTTGACATGTACATCGCGTCAGTACCGACTCATAGCAATCCAGTGCACACCAGAACGAAACCCTGCCCGGTCCTGCGCCCACCTCACACTCGTTGCTAGGTTTGAGCCCATTGCTGCTGCCACCGTGCCAATCCATCTCATTGGGGGTCTTCCTCTTTCCCTCCGACCCTCCACTTTACCAAACATGATACCCTTCTCCAGTGACCGATCCCTTTGACATACTTTAACATACTGAAATAATTTTCTTAGGACTTAATCTATGATATACTTCTACTTTTGTTATTTCACGCTTATGAAATAAAATGGTCTCTGGTCTATAGGCCATGCATAGTAAAGATTTGCCCTGTCCAACACTGTCAGATAGAGGGAAATATTTCTATGTAGGAAATTTGTCATTTTTTATATTTAGATCTAGTATGTTATTTAAAGTACTGTAAGATGTGAAATGAATCCCAGGTGTGGCACTGTAGGGAAAACACTTGAGCTGCTAACCATAAGTCAGTGGCTCCAACCCACCAGCTGCTCCTCAGAAACCTTAGACAGAGTTGGTATGAGTCAGCTGACTTGATGGTACTTAACAAGACGTGAAATACAAATGTGCGTCTTTTCCTAACTAAATCCCCAAATGTGATAAATTGTTCTCCCAACATTTCTGGATTGACTTTTTATAGCTACACAGGTCCGTGTCTTAAAGTTCTATTGGGGACCGTCTGACCACACACACATCCATGGGCTGGAGTTTCCGGGTGGAGTGAGAACCTGAACACCAGCCCCTCGTCTTGCTGTCAAGAGCCCACGTCTGCCCAGCTGCTGCATGCAGTCCTGAAGCCCACCTAATCTGGTGATGGAAGCCTCGACCCCAAATTCCAACTCCAGTCCCCCTCAGTTCCCATAATGCAGTGGGTCCCCTCCCCAGGCAGCTTCTTTTGGGTTCGCTGGACTTTCCTGCAGCTCGCTTTGCAGAGAAAGGCAACAAGAGCCTAGCTGGGTTCAGCACACTCTCACCTGAGGCCATGCGTTGTGCCTCAGCCCCAGGTCTGGGAGTACCAAACCTTGTGGAGAAAAGGTTCAAATCAGATCACACCCTGTTTCACAGAACATATGGTAGGCATTAAACAATGCATACCTATAGTTCTGTAGTATAATATACTTTATAGTGGTCGGCTCCATTTAATTTAAACTTGGTATACTTTATAATGAAGAGAGCAATTTGGAAACACCATGCAGTAGATATTACTTAAAATGAGATTCTTTTTGGTGAAGTGAATTATTTGCATTATGATCCTTTCTGTCTCCATCAGAAATGTGTATCTGTTCTATTAATATGTTAGATGAGTTCCTAATTTTGCGTCAACATCCTTTATACGCCCACTCCTCACTCACTGACTAGCTGGTTATCCAACATTCCCATTTATGACAATAGGAACACTTCTAGTTCACACATTAACGGAGTCTGTCTGTGGGTAACAAAAGCGCATGGTGTGAGAAGCCCAGCTGTAATCGTGTGTCCCCTTGGCTGGACCACGAGCCTCAGGGGATTGGCAGTTACGTAATGATGTGATTTGGTATCCAGGTAACGATGTAGTCTTCATTGTACCATCTGATGTGCTCATCCTTCATTCTCACATAACAACCTGACCTTTGGAACCTAACTCTCACTAAGGAAGGCGTGGGTATTGTTCATTTTACTGGTGGTTTGTGAAATTTTTGTACGTTTATGTGAGATAATTTTATTTATAGCTTTAGACAACATGGCCTGTCAACACTAAATGTGTTGCTGTCTGATCATTTCCAAGCATACATGTATATCCTAAGGTGGTTACTATGTTTTATGTGGTTTATAGTTCCTCTAATAATATAGACGTTGAATACTATC